AGAAGATTCTGCTCCTCAGGAACTGGGTTTTCTGAATGTCACATTAATACACCAAAAGGCCTCAGCTCTCCTACAGCAGGCCACAAGCAAAGTCAGATGGGGCTTTAATCAAAGCTTTCACCAAGAATGAGAACTAACCCCAGCCCTTCTGCTGCTTCTGCCCTCTAGGGAAGGAAAAACCCAACCTGCAGTATGAAGAGAGCACATCATGGCCTTAAATAAAAGGCTCAAAATACCTCAGCTGGGTCATACCTGTTCAGTTTCTGGTTTTGTCGATCTTTTTCTTGCTCGTATTTTGTCTTCAGTCCCTTGAATGTCTGAACATATTCAATAGATTCAAGTGCATTATAAAAATTTTCAACTATATGTGCAATAAGGGACTTGATATCTTCCTGCAGAAGAACAAAACAGGGTTTCAGTCTCAAATACTAACATGCACAGGTTCAGAAAGCTTTAGGCTTTAGTTTTAAAAGTAACCAATTCATTGTCCAGAGTCAAAACATGATTGTAATGTGAAATAATCAGATTTCTCCTTAGTAAAGCAGCAGAAATGTAAAAATCATTAGCACTGGCTGAAAGAGGATGGCAGGAAGACCCTGAAGGACAGACATCATTCAAATCTGTGATCCAATTAGTCTCATTTAGACCCAGTACCCACATTTACTCCCATATATTCTACTGAATTCCTCACTTCAGAGCTGGGACTGGAAAGAATACATGCAACCACTAAGAAGAATTTAACCTACAGGACAATCTTCCACAGGCCTACATGTAAATACAACTGACTGTGATGGGATGAGCACCTAAGACCAGCACCGAGCAGCTCCCCAGCTCCTTTCCTTGGGGATATTTACCTCCAGGAGTTCTAGGTTGTGATTTTAACTAGTAGCACAGCATTCCAAGGGAAAGGTTTCCAGGCTGTATTTCCACCTGAGATGCCAGGTATGTGTGAGAGCTGCCAGGGCTGCTGCACTTACCACGCGGATGAATTCAAACAGCTCGACCACAGCAGAGTTGAGCAGGTTGTACCTAGTGCCATTGTCCAACAGAGCATTAATAACTGGCTCAAAGAGGTTCCCCTTGGTGATATAACGGTTATAGAACTCATCTTTCAGGCCAATTATCCTCCTCATAAAACGCAGAGCACCTAGGTGAAGAAAGAAATTGAAGAGCTTAATAACGACAAGCCAAGGTTCCCTTCTGCTTCTCCCAGACAGAACTGAGAAACCTGCTGGTACTGAGAGGAAGATGGGCCCCCAAACCCACAAGCATTACCAGCCCTTTCTGGAAGTTCAGAAGCAGCCCTTGCTGCCAGGTAACCTTGCTTCCATTCTTTGGCTTTCCTGGGTATTTGAAGGGGAACAGGAGCCATTAATTTCTTTTTGAAATACAGCAGCAATAAACTTCAGCACATGTGAAGTTAAATCATTAGCTCATCCCTCTGCTCTTCCATGTTCCTGCCCCTGTCCTTTAAAGCCATGGTGCACAACATTTCAGAGCACCAGATTTATGGGGTTACCAAGAAATGACAGTACTGCCATGCAAATGAGCTGAGACAGCTGATCACAAACAATCCTCACAAAGACCTGAGAGGATCACTGTGGCCATCACAAGATACAGCAATCCTCCTCCCACCATCAGCTGCTTTGGTCTACACGAGCAGACTTCTGCTGCCTTTGTTCAGAATTATTAAACACCTAGTCAGTAATGAGGAGGAAACTCCCATGAATCCTGAACTCACACTGTTCCTCGTACCCATCCCACAGCACACACAGAAAGCCCTGAGGAAGGAAATCACAACAGCTCTGTACTCACACAAGGCCAGGAACGTGTGTTTTGAATTCATCAAGACCAGCACTCTTCTTAGCAGATCTTTGTTCATAATGTAATTCTTGATGTGATAGGTGTGGTGTTCCACACAAAAAGTAAGCAGCTCCAAAATTAAGGCAAGTAGTTGTGCCGTTTGATAATTATCTGAGAAAACAATTCATGCCTCAAGTTACACCAAACTTTTCATAATGCTCAAAAAAAGCCTGCACAGATAAAAATCCAACCTGTAAATGCTCCTCTATGTCTTAGCAGAATATATACTGAGACATATACTAACAATGACTTAAACTTTAGTACCAAGGTTGACTAGGGAAAAAAAAAAAACAGGGAAACCCAGTAACTCAAAAGCAAATGAAAATGTTCCTTCACCTGCATCTATTTCAATAAGTATTTAAACAATGTATCTGGCTTTTTAAAATAAACCCACCACAGGCAGCACACAAGACAAGTTTCAAAACTCCAAAGCAATCCAAACTCACCAGGACAAACTGTATTACTCTTAGTGGACCCAACTACTGCATCTGATAAAGAGAATGAAAACAAACGTCAGGGAAGGGTTTTCAAAGCACTGTAAATATTTAGAAAATGGGGATAAACAACCAATTCTAACAGCTGCTGCAGCTTTTCAACAGATCCAGAGTTTCTATAAGCTACAAGGGAATAACCACACAGCAAGAACAGAGGTCAGGAGGCAATTTCTATGTTCCACTTACATCACAAAGTTTCAAATTCAACTAGGTGAAGATATGTTATCCAGTACTCAGAAATATTATTCCTACCTAGACTAAACCAAAGTGCCTACTCTAAATTTTTCAAATAACATTATAAAATGAGTACTACAGATATCCTGCAAGTTTTATTTTCATACAAAATCCATAACACTTTTTTTACTTAACATGAGAAGATGGGTAAGATGAAAGGAATGTTTTTACCAAGTATGTATTAGTTTGATTTAATCTCTTGAAAGAGCACTCAGAAAAAAGCCTGACTCCAGAGATGCTGTAATGACATCACATTTCTGTTTGTAAAGCACTAGAGACAAACTAGTGTCATTTCTCTGCTTTACAGCAGATATTCTTTAGAATTATACTAGTAAAAGCAGTATGCAACAATCACATCAAGGACGTGGGTATTTTACAAAGCACAGCACAAAGAACAACAATAAAACCTTAAAAATTAACCTTACCTTTTTCACATTTATCTTCTGCTGTGTTAGCCAGAAGTGGTGCAGTAAGAACATGCATACAATGGTTGTAGAAGAAATTGAGAAATTCACTTTTTTCTGTTTTCTAAAACAAATATAACTTTATTAAATACTGGCATTTGTATACAAACTTCTAAACAAGAAAGAGAACATAAGGAACAGCCTACAAAGCATTTTGCCAACTCCTTCAGGTCTACTCATATCTTTTTGGTTGGGTCCACATTGTCTTCATCCAAGGATGATAAATTTCTTTATTTTGGAAAAAGATCTGGGAGGCATCAACCCAACCTAGCTGTCATCAAAAATTCCTCACCATGGATACAAATACAGACTGAAACAGATCACTGACTCAAAGTGCCTGACAAAATTTGCTGAAATCATTCTTACATGAGGAAATTTTATCCATAACAATCTGCCCACCTTCTGTCACTGCAGACAAAGGATCTTCTGGCCCATTTTCTCTACATTCTATACAATCTACGTGCATCAATGTCTAAACACACCTGTTCAAGCTGGAATTCACAAACAGAAGACACCCCTTTGGTCTGGCACTGTTTCAATGCTGTAGCATCTTTTCTGTGTCACTGGTATTAGGACACCAATTTCTGCTTGAGTCTAGTAAATTCTTGCACAATATCACATAACTTTTATTATCCAAAGTGAGTGGAAATTGTAGCCTGTGTAAATTCATCATCAGACCACACACACACCACTCAAAAAACCCAAAGCAATTGTAATCTTCTACCCACAATGATCAAGTAACAGAGAGCATCAGGTGTTTAGTTTTGCCAGGACAGTGAAGTGTCTTTACCCCTTTGCAGTTTCTTACATTAGCTGTGGCCAACATGTTCTCTGGGTCTATCAGAGTACGCAGAAGGCCCATGAGCTGCACAGCTCCCCCGAGCTCAGGGTCAGTGTCACAGATCATCTGCTCAATGACCACGTTGATGAGGAGGATATCCTGAAAAGAACAGCAAAAAAACACCCACACAACAAACACCACAACATTATTAGACACCGTTTCAATAGTGGAATGATTTCACTAATTTCTGTATGTTTCTGTATTAGGTTTCTTGTTTTTCCTTCTGAATTGAAGTGAAACAGAAAAACTGAGAGTTGCACTTAGACTCTGGAGTTGTGTCAAGCACCACCCTCCTCACCTACAATCACTGGTAGGCTGACTTCCTACTGCCAGCTAATATCAACATGCTCAGAAATTTCTGTCTTGAATCTACTTTTTCCTCATGTTTCTAGTATCCACACTTTTGGGCAACAGTATCTCAAATTCTGGAGAGGTTTGTTTTGCTGGTTTTATGTGTTTTTTTCCCCATCTGCTCTAAAACTAGTGCATTATTCAGCTCCACATCACTTTTACTCACGTCGTCGCTCTGCTGGGCCTCTTGCATCACAAACTCTCGGACCATGGATGGACTAAATTCTACCAGATAAGAAAATATATCTGTAGCAGCAGCTCTAACTTGCAGATCATCCATTCCCTAACAAAAAAA